GGCAAAATTTCTAGTAATGTAAGGAGTGGATGGAAGGAGATTGTGAACAGAATGAATGGAGAGAAGTGAAAATTCTACCTTTTTCCTTTAGTATTGCTAAAGAATTAAGAGAGAATTCATATAGTAATTTTATTGCTATCATTGCAAATTTTGCAAAGCGGAGCTTTAAGAACCAAGTGCTGAAGCCTGAAAACATCTTGGGCATCAATTAACAAGAATCAGAGCTGTATTAGTGTTAATATTTATTGCTTTCTTTCTCCCTTTACAGGTGTCATTTGCTTTGGAATGACAGGCTTGAGGTGCCTTTGCTTTAGCACAGGAAGTGCAGAGCAAGGAATCCTCCCCAACTCCTTGTCTCCCAGATTTCCAATGTAACTACCAATGATCCTTCCCACACTTCACATTTTTTTTGCTCCATCTTCATGGATTTTTTGGGGTTTGTTTCATTAAAAGCAGAGTTTGACTGGCCAGGGTTTGTACGGACTTCTTTATGTCTACAGGGTGAAAATCAAACAGAAGATTCCCAGGACAAGAGTGGATCTGGCCACTTCCTGCATTGTTGTGTTGCTGGGGTGGGAGCTGCCCTCAGGTACCCATCAGTGACAGTATAGGTACATTTTAATCCCAATTCCCTGTCTAAATTGCACCATAACTTTAAGAACTTCCAAATATTTACATAATGACGGTCATAAACATCAGCATCCTGGCATTGGCTTCCAAATGACCAAGTTTTTCTTTTGTTGCTGGCAGACTTTGTTTCCCAGTGCTGTCAATTGAGCCTGGCTCCAGTGAGCTCATGTACTTCCCCTTCCCAAAAGGGTGAATATTGTCTCACTTTGCCTTACTGGAAGCACTGTGGGTGACAGTAAATCTCCTTGTGCAGGACTCTCTTCTAGGAAGTAAAGTCATTCTCAATACTTAATTAGACTATTTTTAATTGAAATCAATGTTTATTCAAATTTTTAGTTAACCCCAACCTTAACATTCTCTGCAGTGATTAAAATACTGTGTTCACTTGCAGAATAGTCTTCCCTTTCAGTCTGGAGGTAGCAGGGCTGGGAAGAAAGAGCCTCATAGGGAAAGGCCTCTGTTTCTGTTCTGTCAATACTTATCTGTCATTACTCATAACAGGTGACTCCTTATCTGTCATGCTGTTATCTTAATTAAGAGCACTCTGGTGTATCAAAGTGAAGATTGCAGTGGTCAGCTAATGGTTCTTGTGGGGATGAAGGTCTCACTGTGGTAGAAAGGTCAAAACAGGTTAAACAGACACTTAATCCCACAGTTTCCTTCCCAAATCCAAGCAGATGTCACAGCCCTTCTCTGCTGTAATTGTATCAGATGTAACCAGAGTCCTAAAATGTGAGAAATTCACTTATCAGCGACACCAACAAAAACAAGCTGGAGCTAAAAACACTGCTAAAGGCCCAAGCAGATAAGCTGGGGAGTGAAATCATATCCTTGGTGCCTGAGAACTCGAATACCTCTGTTCCCCTGAGCTCCAGGAGCTGTTCTGTGCTGGAGCAAACCTCAGCTACAGAAGCAGCTCTGTTCAGTGATCTGCAGCTTCCTCCTTTGTCTGATGTTAGAGCAAGATGTTCTCATTTGCAAAGGAGTTTTTTTTCTTTTCTTTTTGCTTTCCCAGAGAAGAAGGAGGGAGCAGTTAATAGAACTGGAGCTTGTTCATCTGCTGCTGCTCTGTGATTATGTGCTGGAACTGTAATTTCTTCTGCTGTACCTTTTGGGACAGAATTACATGGATACAACCGAGGAGAATGTTACCTGTGAGATGAGTTATTTAGGTAAGAACCTCAAGAAATTTTTTTTATAAAGTTGCAGTTTGTTTCTTAATTTAAAAGATGCAGGGGAAGAGTCTGAACCAGCTTCTCAGCTCAACTAAAAGCATGATCTGCATTCCAGCAAGCAGGAAGTGATATATAGCTTATTTGTCAGTAATAATGAAAAAGTGGATTTTATAGTTTAGAGTGTGTAAATTTGATTTGCTATCACAAGGCTAAAGTACATTTCCACTGGATCCACACTGTGTTTTGTGCTATTATCCAGGCAACGTGAAACCAAGCATTTTAGATGGAAATTCAGGCTAAGGAGGCAAAAAGGATGTGGTGGCTAAAAATGTAGCATTTCTTGAAACTCACAGAATGAGAATCTTCCAGGCAGATATTTTCCAATTAAATGTAGAGTGAATCAGGTGCTCCAGCTGGTTTTCTTGAAGCTTTTTGGTGACAGAAGATTGCTCATGAAGTGCAGTGAACTCCTAAAGATTGTTAGTCTGGGTGATTGAGTCCCTTGCTACATATTTGTTCCACAAGACATAGGCAAAGGCAAGACACAAATTGAATAATGGCTCATACACCTCGTTCTGCTTGCAAAGGTGGAGAAAAACTGTGGTGGTCTGCTCTTGATTATTCAGCTACTACATTTCATTCTAAAATCCTAAACATTTCCTAACCGTGTTTGGAGTCATTAGCAGTTGCATCCTGAACGTTAATTGTGATTAACGTGGCCACAAACACTACAGAGAGAGCAGATCCAGCCAAGTACAGGTGCACAATTTCTCAAACTTCCCTCCGAGCTCCCCCTGTCCCAGCCAGGACATTCCCAGGCAGTAACAGCCTGGCAAATGTGCATCAGGCTGGAGCTGAAAGGCCAGGAAAACGCACACGTTGGGAGATGAGTCATCCCTGGAGTTCTGTGAGGCCGCCTTTTATGAGCGCGGGGGAGGCGTTGGCTCTGTAATCATCTGTAACCGAAATTCCCGCTGAACTTCACACCTCGCTGCCCTCACTCAGTTTGGTCACGGCTTGGTTCGAGCTGCAGGTCAAAGTGCTGCCCTGCAGACCTGCAGCCAGGTGTTCATGGCTCAGTCCAACAGTGATTTAGCACTGCAGGCTGGGCTCAAACCCGGCCTTGGGGCCAACACTGACAAACCTCAAACCCCCCCAGGCTCTTCCATAAATCTCATCCCTCTGCAGCTCCTCCTCATTATCATTGTCTTCAGATCTCCTTGGAGTGGAATATTTCAGGTAGGTCCAGACATGCATTTATTGAGCTGTCTGTCTACCAGGATGATGTTAAATTTCACTCTTCTGATCTCTTCAGACACTAAAATGTCTCAGTTTTGCAGCAATCCATATCTCAATTGATGGCAAAATCTCATGATTTATGAGTCTGTTTCCATCACAAAGGGTTAAAAATACCTACACCTCAAAATGCAGACCAGTCTTACATGGTCACCCTAAAATACTGACCAGTCTTATATGGTCACCATGAAATACTGACCAGTCTTATATGGTCACCAATAAATACTGCTGGTAGCAAACATATTGCAGCCATTAAATACAAGCTTGCAAATACACACAAGGTATTTTCTTTACATTCTTTATGTTCTCTGTCTGAATCACACAGAGAGAGATACCAAAAGCAACTTATTTCTTTCTTCCTAAAATCAGTATTGTTAGATCTAGTCAACAAGAATTATTATTTCCATGTTCAATTCTTTCACAGACTGTTGCTGTTTGCTATTCTGTGGCTTAATAAGCTCCTTTTCATTACATGTAGAGAAATAGTTTGGTCTAGTGGTATTCTGTATTCCACACAGCTGGAGTGGATTGTCACAAAGTTTTGCAGGAATTTTTGGTGCGGTTTTGTCTGGATGAACAGGAAAATTGTGGTTGGAGACCAGGACAAGCAGGCAGTTAAAGGCAGGAGGTTACCAAGGAATGATGGCTTTGGGAGCTGACAGAGGGAGGCAAAGTCCCAGGGGCCTTTCAGAGAACACTGCAGGCTTGAATCCAACAGTGAAAGCCAGAGGGGATGGAGGGAGGTGACACTGAGATAAGGGAGAAGGGGACATGCAAAGGGAGGGGAGGGCTGGTGCCAGTGGCCAGGTAGTACAGCAATAAAAATCACGAAGTGGAAGTGACTGCAACTTTCATGAAGGGCAGAAAGGGAAAAAAAGTTTAAGAGGAGTTTAGAATTGGTGGTTGTGAGGAACATTTTCTGTTTAATCTGACTGTGCCTTTGGAAAATTTAGAATTTGGAAATTGTGTTTCAGCAAAGCAGAACTGAGTTCTTTCCTCAGCACTTACAGTTAGAAAGCTGCTTTGGGCTGGCTGTAAACATCATGTCTAGCAGTAAATGTCTGGAGATGAGAGCGATTATAGGATGTGCCTGGGAAACTCCGAGGCCGTTGGGATCAAAAGGCATTTAATATATACAAAGTGAGAGTTTAAAACCCTGACGAGCCGCCCTGTGAGGTGGCATCAAACATGGAAAATATTCCTGCTGAAGGATGGAGAGGCGGGAGAGCCCGGGCTTGGAGCGCCATCGGGCGGCACAGCCGGGCAGCGCCTCGGCACCGCCACGGCCCGCGGGAGCTCGGCTGGGCCATTTGAGGAACGAGGTTTATTTAATATGTGTGTCTGATTGTCTTTTCTCCAGGGCTGCGGGTGGAGATAAAAGTTTTTAGTGTCTACGAAGCTGTGCTGCTGCAGCGTCCTCGTGAAGGGTCATGATCCTCCAGCATCCTCGCGAGGGTCAGCGGAGGGGCAGGCAGCGATCCCGTCACTCTGGGAGCCGTGCCAGGACTCGAGGGGAAGGGGAGAGCTCAGTCAGGGCGGGTTGGGTTGGATATCAGGAAAAGGTGTTTTACCCCAGAGGGTGGTTGGCACTGGACAGGCTCCCCAGGGCAGTGGGCACAGCCCCAAACCTGACAGAGTTCACTCAGGGACAGGGTGGGATTGTTGGGGTGTCTGTGGAGGGTTGGACTCAATGACCCTGAGGGGTCCCTTCCAACTCTGCATATTCTGGGACTCTTTATTGCTCCCAAGCACAGTCAACTCTTGACTTCAATGGTTTAAAGCAGCAGTGGGATGCATGGATAACATGCCATGTACTCAGAGAAGGGTCTCTAGCAGAGAAAAAGGTAGTAGTGATAGTGTTGAACAGAGCACAGATTGGTTCCTGGAAGCCAGCTGAAATGTTTCCAGACACAAGCTGACTGACATAGAGCTCCCTTGAGCAGGAGTGGGGAGAGATGCCCATGATCTGTGTCTAAAAAGTTGAGAGCTAAGATGTTAAAAAAAAATTCCTCTTGAAATAAAATTAGTATCGACTTAGCCATGATTAAATTAAAGTTGCCTTCTGGTTGATGAAGAACTAGATCTTCACAAACTGAAGACAGGATGAAATATTGCACTGTGAAACTCACAGAAGCAAAGGGGTCTGGGTTTTACAAAATGGCCAAGAATACTAAGTGCTATTTTGCTTTTCAGTTTAGTCTGAAGTGTGAAATACACAGTTCTTAAAAAAGCCCCAACCACAGAGGCTTGTCTTCATGCCTGAGTCATGAACCATAAGCACTACTCATTCCAATTAGCTGCCTCACTCTTAAACTCTTAGGTTTACTGTTAATTTTCACTTTAAACTTTTTTAACAGGGTGCAAAAAATAAATTACCTTCTGAAGTTGGTAATCCACAAAATGGCTCAGAAGACCTGTGACTGAACACTTTAATAAATGTGAGTGGCCAGAAGAAAAGCAGCAAATGAAGGTACCTACATGCACCAAAAGGACAAGAACACCCTCCTGTGCCCTCTGTTCTTCACTTTTTGGACTTGTTTTTGGGGGGAGAAAGGGGAAAAAATCCCTTTGCACGATTCAGAACTGTGGAATGTGCACAGTTCCAGCAGGGGTGAGGAAGAGTGTTGGTTTCCATCTCCCTTTCTCTGCTTACTGGAGCATCCTGGGTTGTTGATTGGTTTGGTTTGGTATTCCCTCTAAAAACACCAAACAGAACCCAGCACCTGCTCTGGACTGTGAGTCTGCTGCTGATTTGACCTAAACCGTCAGGAACTTCCTGGGAAGGATTTTGTTCTGGGGGTAGAGAAGGATTTTGTTCTGGGGGTAGATGTGTGCTCATGGGTGATAACGGCGAGCAGGGACTGCTCAGGTGGCAGGGCCAAGGCCACAGAGCTCGGTTTGAAAGGCCAGGGGTTGTGGATGGGGACAATCAGGGGCAGAGGAAGCAAATGGCTTGTCCAGAGTTGCCCAACAAGTGCGTGGTAAAGGAGGGCTCAGGTCAAACCCAGGTACCTGGCCTAGCAAACGAGCTTCCCTTTATTTCTTTCTCTCTCTTCTCTAGAAAGACTATTTTTAGCTCTGTCAACTCACCGAGACCTTACCAAAGATTATTGTTATTTTTGCCTGTGCAGTTGCTGTGAGATCACTGCGGAGTTGTGCACTTTCATTTCTCAGGTGCACAGCAGGTTACTTGGCTTTTGTTTGCATTTCCTTTCCCTTGTCTTCAGGGCACTGCTCTTCAGCACTTCTGCAAAAGCACAGCCCTGCAGCTCCTTTCTGGGTAAGTTCTTCTGCTGCAGGAACATTTCATGTCGCTTCTCAGGGCCGGAAATGACCGGAGTGATCGAAGTTCCTCAAAGCCCAGCCCAAAACTGGTGTGTGGCTTGGTGCACTGGGGGAAACACTTCATCATCCCTGCAGGGTGAGGGGGACATGCAGCCCCCCTGTGCTCATGAGGACACAGGCTTGCAGCTGCAGCCACTGCTGGAGGGCCAGAACCACGGAGCTGCTGCAGCAGATGGGGCACCGTGTCCAGCTGTGCCTGTGCCACGGAACAGCCCAGCAAAGAGGGTACTGGTCATGCTGTGCTTTGGGAATTTATTAAATTCCACGGATTGGTTCCTTGTGCCAGGTGAGAGCCTATTTTCTTCCTCTAAGGAAAAAAAATTTAAGTTCTTAACAGCTCTACTTACTCAACAAATGTTTCTAAAGTAACAATATGCTTTATGTCTTTTAATTTTTCCTCACTTATCTGCTTAGCCTATTGTGCATACTCATAATAAAACTTCCAGTTATAAATCTGGAAGCACCTAGGAATGATGTAGATTCCTAGAATACTTATAAAGATGATAAAATATTTTAAAATCTAAGTCTCTTATAAACAGACTTTAGCAAAGTCTATTTTTGTGTCTGGACTCTACAGAAGACTGACTAAGGAACTTCCCTTTGCTGTGCAGAGCAGTTTACCAGGCCTTCTTTGGATCTGGTAGATTCACCATGGCATTCCTTTATCTGGAGAATACTGATGCCATTTCCTCCATTAAAAGTCCCAAAATTATGTTATCTTTGTGCCAATAAAAGATAACTCTGTTATATTAACTTTGGGCTTTCTTAACTTCCTTGTGTGCTTCCTGCAACGAGGAGTAAAATGATTGTGTAAGGAGAGCAGAGACCCACTTCCCTAAGCATCCCCTACCAAATGCACAACTTGCTGTCTAAAAAATAATATATCCCTCCTCCACAATTTTTTAATTGATTTTTTTAACTTTTTTTTTTTCTAGTGGTGAACAACAAAGAGTTGCTTCTAGTAAACTGGTGGGGAATCTGTGGGTTTTTTCTTACAGTGTAAACTGTGGTCTGTGTAAATTCTTCTGTTTAGCATCACTCCTAAGGATCTACCATGCTGCCAGGGATCTGACTTAGAAATTAGGAGGAAACATTTGTTGTGAGCTTACTATATGTTACTTCTGAGTGGCCTGGGAATCAGAAATGTTTTAAAACCTTGAAAAAACCCAAAGGGTGGATTGTTAAATTTGGAAGGAATACCTAGTGACAGTGCCCAAAGTAATTATTCTACTACTTAGACCGTGCAGAGATTCCAGACACTCAGTCAATGCCTTTGTAAATGGAGAGGGGAGTGGGTTTAGGAGTTTGAGCTTTTTTTATTTTGAGTACTTCTAAACCACACCAGTAAGAGGGAAGGAAGCAAGCAGGAGTGGGTGAAAACATCTTCAGGCAAGAACTGGGGTGTGAGGAGGGGATGCACTTGGAAGAGTTAAGTGCCAGCAGCCATTTGGCTCATTCCAGACTTTGAACTGCTCTTTGTGTGTGCCAGGAGCTTGACATTTCCCCAGCACGCTCTTGTGAGCGAGGCACCTCCAAGAGCAGAGGCCAGGCCTTTGGAACATCTCCTTTAATTACATCAGATGACTAAACCACTTTTTAGTTAGTTCTGTGACCTCCTGGGCCATGGGGGCCACCTGTAAACTGCAGTTTATACCCCAGCACTACGCTGTTCATCTGCTAGAGTTCCATGGCACTGCAGAACTCCTGCAGCAGCACTTCTGAGCTTGGCTGTCCATGCTGGCTGACAGGGAAGAGAAGAGGGAGGTGTGAAGATCTGGTCAGAACGAAGCCGGTGGCAGTTGCCAAGCTGTGGTTTCCGGGCAGTTTTGCTCACAGGCTTTGACAGAATTTACGTCCATCTTCACACAGAAAACAAGCTCTTCCACTAAACTGTCTGCTGGAATTGAGTCTTCAGTTGTTAAAAGCAGTGATCGTGCAGCCCTTTCCCCTCTGATCTGTGACCCTGCCCCAAGCTGTTCCAATCAATGCTTTGGCATTTGCCAATCACTGCTCAGGTCAGTTATTTCAGTCCTGGGGAGGGAATCACTGGTGCTCGGTGTGAAAGGCAGTTTGAGATGGAGCTGTGGTTCAGGTCAAGTCTTGTGTTAGCTCTGATTTGTTTTAAATACTCTGGGAGTCCAAACCTGAAATCCTGTAATCCAGTATTTCTGTGTGTTGATCACTGACTGCCAGAAAGGAAAGATACAATTGACTGCTCTGTTTTAATGATGCAAAACCATTGAATGAAATCACTGACTTACTTTTGAGACCATTAGAAAAACCCTAAATGCAAAATATGTTCAAGAGCCATTGAGAAATCTACCATCAGGCTGGACCTTGTTCTACACTGACTTGGAGTCACATCAGTAAATAGTGAGTGCACTGATGCTGCAGCCACAGGTACAGGAACATGGATTTAGCTTTAAAATAAATGACCCCACAACGATTTTAAGAGCTGCAGCAGTGTAGTTTTATGGCACAACATGGAAAACACAGGGTGGGAGCAGAGGGGCCTCTTGCTGACCTCACCCAGCCCTGTTCTGCTGCAGATCAGCTGCTGTGGGCACAGCAGGCAGGTTACCCAGAACTAGTTCCCTTAAATGGTCATGGCTTCTTCCTCTTACCAGTGGTATGACTTTATCTATTTTGACACAACATGAGACGCAGCATGAGAAGAAATGTCTTTTTTAAATGATAGCTTTCAATACTGGAGTACAGGTGTGCTTATTCCAAGCAGATTCTTCTGCTGTTTCTAATTGTTTCTCAGCAGTATAAAGCAGAAATGCAAGGCAGGTGAGATGGGAGATGTGCAGCCTTGGCAGGATGTAGAGCTGAAATGACCTTTTTGTCTCAACCCTAAACTAGAAGCTAAAGGTGCTGCAGTTCTTGCAAGCCTTGTTTTTGGGTTGGCACTTGCAGGGAATGAGCAGAGTACTCTGCTGCCAGTCAGTGTCTGCCTCTGTTGCAGGGATCCTCTTGGATATACAGAAATACTTTGGGCTCAGCGATGAGAAGATAGGTCTGCTGCAAACAGGTAATGAAACCCCTTCAGTCAGGGAGTTTCTCTGCTTTGCCTCTCTCTGGTCTGCTCCCAAAACACAGCCTGGTTACTTAGTTCTCTATTTCCTCCTGGTGTGTGGGGTTGCTCACTTCCACTTGTGGGCAGGCTGGCTATGATGCAAAACTCAAAGTCAAGCCAGAGCAGAGTCCTTCAAAAATCCCACAGCACGTGAATCACAAAAGATGAAGGATTTCTCAAGAAATACAGAACCTCAGTAATTCACACACATTTTTTAATGAATATTCTGACTCTGCATTTATCGTTTTTCAAACATCAACCCCCCTTTGAGTTCTACAAACTCAGCCTGCCTTTAACCTCTGCCCTAAAAATAATCTGAGTTCATCTGAGGGATGAGCAGCACACATGGCAAAACCACCTGAGCAATATTGTGTTTGCTGGTTCTTGGCTTTGCAGTGTTCACTGTGTGTTACATGCTGGCTGCCCCCATCTTTGGGTACCTCGGAGACCGCTACAACAGGAAAATCCTCCTGGGAGCTGGGATTCTCCTCTGGTCTGGAGTCACCCTGGGCAGCTCCTTCATCACTGAGTCGGTATGTTGCTGCTTTAGAGGGCACTGTGAAAATAATCTGCTTGCATCTTGCAGGAGCTGATAGAGTCCCTCTCTAACCACTTTTGGAAAAGCATCAGTGAGCACTCACACCCCAAGCCTGGACTAAATGGACTCCATGCAGGAATGCTTTATGGGATGCTGGAAACCAGCCTAGCTAGGAGAGCCCACACATTACTGCTGCAATTGAGGGGATCTCATTTTTACCCTGAATGTTTGCTGTGACCTGACAGTGTGGCAGCTCATGGGGCAAGCATGTGCTCTATCCACCCTATCCCAAAATTCCCTCTGGGTGTCACTGTGGGAAGTCAGTGCTGGGCAGAAAGAGAAAGCCCAGCAGTGAGATGTGAGGGGAGCAGGAGTGAGTGAGGGAATACAGACATAGCCAAAGGCAAGTCTGATTTCCTCTGGTACATTTGATCCACCAAAAGGCTTCTCTAACAGCAAGCTTTCCTTGTGCCATGGACTCTCTTGCACTGTAACGTGTCTTTCCCCTGCAGTATTACTGGATATTTGTTCTCTCACGAGGACTGGTTGGCATTGGCACGGCCAGTTACTCCACCATAGCACCCACCATCATTGCAGACCTGTTTGAGGAAGGAAAAAGGACCACAGTGTTATCTCTCTTCTATATCTTCATTCCAGTGGGAAGGTTGGTTTTCTTGCTAGTAATTGCCTGGCCTTTTGAAATTCTGTCTGACCACGCCTGCAATTCAATACACCCCGAGCCTCAAGTAGATATATTTTGATGTATATCTGCCTTGGCTCTTGCAAAGGGATTTGTCACTTCCTTAGCAAGTTTGAATGGAGCTGATTAGGTTTATTTCTGTACTTATCTTGAAGAAAAATTCGCTTTTTCCCCCCAACATTTTTAGGGAGAATCTAAACTCTGGCTTTGAATAAAATATTGAATCAATTCAAAAAGAAACGTGTGCATGGGGGGTATGTAATGTATTTCTGGGGTTTGGAATACAAAAGCTTTTAGATGTTTGTTTATTTGACAAATCTTTCAAGAACCCTCCACTAAATGTCTCCCACTGAAGCATTGGCACTTCCCTCTCCTCTTTTAGTTAAATTCACACTGTGTCAAGAAGGGGAGAAGAGCCTTGTAAGTAGTTTAGAGACATACTCTGTACTAGAACAGGGAGCCAAGGCCGGGCCCAGAAGACAGATTAAAACTAAAGAAATTCCTGCAGGACATAATTCCTGTGGCTAGCACAGAGAGGATTGAATAATAAACTGCTTTATGGGCCGTTTGATCTGGGTTTGCAGTGTCATTTTACAGGATATGGACTCCAAGGGGGAATCTGGGCCATTATTGCCCCTGTCTCAAGTCTGGCAAGTAGAGTTGCACAGACCATGAGGGTTGTTTCTGTTTGTCCCTTTTGGAAGCTATGACAGAACACTTCTCTGTGTCATTGCAGCCCTCCAGAGTCCATTGGTGCTTTCTGATTAGTCCTTTCTGTTGCTCACAGTGGCTGTGGTTACGTGCTGGCAGCTGGCATGGCAAGGAGCACAGGGGACTGGCACTGGGCATTCAGGGTGAGTCGCTGCCTTTCATTCCCTGACACACCAGAATCCTCCCAGGCTTTGGATTCCTTATGTTCACTGTGTTAAAAGAGGGGAGCAGTGCAAGGACTTCCTACTCCTGACTGCTCATTAATGTGATGTTTAAGGGAACTCCTTTTGCAGCACAAGTGGCAGATTCCTGCCTGGTTCTGGTAGGTGGAGGTGAAACTGTACAGCAGCCAGGGCAGGTGCTGATGTTCCTCTTAGATGAGGACACATTTGGAGTGGTTGTCACTGCACTGAGACCTCCTCAAACAGAGGAATCTGAAGGTAAAATTATCGTTACACTGGCAGCACCAGTTTCCTCCAGCACTATTGGGAACAACTTCCATTATTTGAAGGTTTCAAGAAAATAACTCTCCTGTTCTGATCATGTCATCATGACGTCTCTCCATCCTGAACAGCCAGTGCTTTGGAAGCACTTTGTCACATCCTCCTACCTTGTGTGCAAAATAAGTGGCACAAGCAGGTGAGTGGGGCAGAGTGTTTACTGCATCACCCCTGTGATGCTGTTCAGGTAACACTGGTGACTGCATCACTGAGCCTTGGGTTTGTGGCCACAGCACCACAGCACAGTTTTCTTTCTTCACGTGTTTTTCTTCAGAATCAGAGAGAGCACCCATGCACCTGTAGGACGGGGAGGGAGGGTATATTATCATTCCTCCAAAGTCACCACAAATCACCAACATCACTCCTCTTCTTTACAGATGTGACCTAAACCATATCTATAAGAAAACAGGCATCCCTCACCTAACCAACCTTGTGTCTACAGATAACTCCTTGCATGGGAGGTCTAGCACTGGTCCTTCTGCTTCTCCTGGTCCCTCACAGGACCCAGAGAAGGACACCAAGATACAGAGCACTGAGCATCTCCGGCACAACACAAGGAGCAGATGAGACACCAGATGAACACACAACTGCCAAGACCACTTGGTGTCAAGATGTTGGATCCCTTGCCAAGAAGTAAGTAAGTGGTTTGAGCAACAAAGGTTCCCTGCACTGAGAGTGGCCATCCCATTACAAGAAATGTCCATGGAATCCCGCTCTGCTCCTTTGTGTCTCGTGCTCTTTGCAAGGGGATGGAAACGCCCTTAATAAAAACCTTTCTTCCACTCTTTTACAGGAATGCTACAAAAGAAATCAAAGATTTCTTTGCTTCTTCTATCCTCCCATTTGGAGGAAGGGGAAGGAGGCAAAGTTATGGCAGTGTGCTCCTATTTAAATCCAGCTCTACTTTCTACTAAGTTTCCCCTTCCCTCTTGCTTTAGCCCTCAGGGTGAGCTGGTTATTTGCAGGTGTAAATTTATCTGTAACTCTTAGTGCCCGAGGAAGGTGGGATCAGCATGTCTCGAGCAGTCTCTGTGTGGTATTTGGGAGCCCTGATACACGAGGTGAGAGTGTTGGGCTCCAACACGGTTTATAAAGCGACTGCCCACGCGTTTAGAGCAGCTGAGCGGTGGCTGGCAGACGACCTCTTCCTTTAACCAAACAAAAAATAAAGAGAACACCGAGCTGAGCTGCAGCACGAAGTAAAAACGAACTGCAGCAGGTTTTTTACCGTGCGGTCAGTCCGGTGCCAGCGGCGCAGGAGGAGGAGCGGCAGCCGGGCTGGGAACAGCAGAGGCCGCTGTGCAGCTGCGCCAGCCCCAAGTGCTGCCAGGAGAGGCTGAGGGAGCTGGGCTTGTTCAGCCTGGAGAAGAGGAGGCTCAGGGGAGGCCTCATCGCTCTCTACAACTCCCTGACAGCAGGGTGGAGCCGGGTGGGATCGGGCTCTTCTCCCAGGCAACTATCAGTAAAACGAGAGAGCTGTGTCTTAAGCTCTGCCACGGGAGGTTTAGGTTGGATATTAGAAAGAAATTCTTTCCAGAGAGGGATCAGCCCTTGGAATGGGCTGCCCAGGGAGGGGATGGAGTCACTATCCCTGGAGGTGTTTAAGGTGAGACTGGATGTGGCATCAGTGCCATGGGCTGGGAACCACGGCGAGGTTGGATCAAGGGTTGAACTTGATTATCTCGGAGGGCCTTTCCAACCCTGTCAATTCTATGGTTCTATGATTCTTCCTCCAGAGGTTCCAGCGTTCTCTAACTGACAATCCGATTTCCATTCCGTTTGCAGCCAGAACAGCAAGTGCCCCAGAGATCCAGTTTGCTGGATCACAATTTGTAGGCAGTACAGCCTGAAGCAAATAAAACATGAATTTTCCTGAATCAAAAATGAACCTTCCTGACATATCAACAACTAGGCTATCACCAAAGTTTCTTTCCAAAAAGATGTTCCAGCAATGTTGTAAAAATAGATTTTATTTTCTTTTCCTTTAGCAGTTGATTTCCAAAGCATAAAGTCATACTGCCAAGAAAAAGGTGGTTCCACTTTTCATCAAGTCCAAGAGTCCTTTATCTTTAGAAGATGGAGAATTTGGTTCAGTTCTTAGCAAGTCCTCTAATCTGGTGGTCACCTGGTCCTTTGCAGCACTTACAATTTCATACCTCCCTATTGACCTTAAAGGGGACTTTTTCCTAAACTATCAACTAGAAGGAGACCAGCAAAAACTTAATTTTCTCCTAGAACAGGGCAGGAGGGAGACAAGGTTTGGACAGTTTTTTAAAATGCTTCTCCTTTTGTCTGAAAACTCTCTGTGCAGACTGACAGGTTTTTTTTACCCACTCAGAGTTAAGAAGGGGTTCAGCCACTGCATCTTCACAGTTTGGAGGACCTAGATGTTACTCTCATTTATGCTGGTTACAGAAACGACTTAAAACCATCCTGAGGCATTTAGACCTGCACATAGAACACTTTCCTTCAGCTACTAAGCCCTTAAATTCTTGCCCACTCTCTATTGTTGTACTTCTGCTATCAAAAAATCCACAGCAATTGTTTTAGCAGAAGCAGGCAGTGGAATGTGCAATAACCCAGGATTTAACACGAAATCAGTAGGTCATGGCCTCTGCTCTAATTAGGACTTTATTGTTGACTTTCATAATAAAGCCTGATCAGAGTTCAGATATTCAAGGGAGTGGGGTTTGATTATAAGATGTCTGAATGAATTGTTTTGTCATCGCCTGAAATCCTGGGTATTGCAGGTAGGCTTTCCCTTCTCCCTCCCATCCCGTCCTTTTCATATCTCCCCTTTGTTTTCCTTTTGATTTGCAGCTGCAGTTTTGTCTGGTCCTCACTGGGTGTGGCAGCCATGACCTTTGTCACTGGAGCCCTGGGAATGTGGGTACCACTGTTCCTGTACAGGGCACAGCTCGTCCAGGGCACTGTCCCCCCCTGCCTCCAGGAACCGTGCAATTCATCCAGCAGGTGAGCTGGGACTGTGGAACAGCACTAAATCACAGCTCGATTCCAAAGGGGGGAGGCAGGACGTGACTGAACACTTCTGGTGAAGGCAGTGGGGTGGGAATGTCAGACTACATTGCTGCCAGGTATGCTGAGACACTCCTATTTGTTTGTTTATAATCAGTTAACTGGGAAGATGCTGCCAGCCCTGCTGAAGTAAATTGGGAAGAAGCAGTAACAGGAACACTCGTGGGGGGGAAAAAAGGAGCAGCTTTAGCAAGCAGATTTCAGTTGACAAATGACTGTGCACCCCAAGCTACTTAAATGCACATTTAAGTACATTTAAATCCTGTGTTTTGGTGACTTTCCCATTATCTGCTTGTTAGTCTGGTTTTAAAATCCCTGCTGGGTTAGCCAGGTGATTGTGGCTCCCAGCATGAAGAAAGCTTGATGATTTAGATCTAGTCCCATATCCTTGCATCAAACCAGCATCATTTGCTCTTGTGGGGACCTGCCAGCAGAGCTCTGCTTACAGAGCACATCCAGACCACTGAAGATCCATGAATAAGCATCAAATGGTGGGTGGGAAGAGGAATTTACAAGAGTAGAAGACTTTGAAGTAATCAGAACTTTTTGTAGATGACTTTTCCCCAGCTAGGAAGAGAAGTTTCCCCTTATGTGTTACCAGAATACAAATGTGTTCTGTGTTATCCAGAATACCAAAACGGAGTCAGTGCTGCTCTCCAGTCTCTGTGGCTGCCTCAGTCACAGTGAGCACTGGGACTGACTCCCTACCAGTGGCCTCCATACAAGTGTCCCTTTCTCCTGGAGTTATCCCAGATGTGGTTTCAGTCTCTGCCTTCATGATGGATTTCAAAGAACTAAGTACTTCCTACACTGCCTTTCCAGGTGAAGACAATTAAAGGGAAAAGCAGTAATCACTCTGCTAACAGGGTCCTTCAGCTTGTCTGCAGTGGAATGACTGACCAAACTCAACTGATGGATTGAATAGTCCATCCACCCCCAAATCCTTCAGTGGGAAATGAATTGTCCTTCCATGGATGCCACCAGTGGCTCATAACTTCCCAGTGAACACTGCTGAGAAGGGAGTGAACCCGGGAGTGTGGCTGGGACAGCAGAGCAGACTGAACAGTTTCAGCTGTTCAGCTGTTCCTGTTCCCAGATCCAGTTTAAATACTTCCTTTGTGAAGCTGAAGGTGTTGCCCTGTGGTTTGCTTTCTAATCCACTTCTGAATTATTATTCCACAGTGGTGTTGCTGGAGCAGACATGGTCTTCAGGGGAGGGAAATGGAGCTCCTGATAGTTTAACCTCATGTCCTGCTTCTTACAGGATACTTTAAAAATAACCTTGGCAGAAGCTCGTGCCAGAAGCAGCATAAGGCAGGTTTTAGACTGTTGTTATTCCAGGGGGATGTAAAGAAACAGAATAAACAACTGTGTCAGACCTGTAGCTGATGGCCTGGAGGAAGTGAGCACATTCCAGGACCTGTCAGGGATACTTTGAGGATCCCCCCTGGCTGTTCAGCAGTTGCAGGCTTTGTTTAAGGATCAGGGCTGTATCTCAGACTCCCTGGAAACACCAACTCACAGCTGACTCAGGTCTTGTCCTTTCAAAGGTAGATAAATAGGGGTTTTTCAGGTCTTTGTGCAGACACTTTGGAACAGATGAGACAGATAAGGGAGCATTCTCAGACCCTAAAAGATCCCATAGGAGCCTTTCCCCAGGACTCAGCTTCTGTACTTTCCTACTCCCAGTCAACTGAGCCATGCTTGGAGTTCAGTTTAGGCTGCTCTCTTTTATTCCAGCTCCGGGTTTATTTCAGCTGCAGTTTACAACACATGAATATTCTAACCACAATTCCATGGATGCTTCAATCAGCTAATGTCACCTTGGAACTTTTCTCTCCTGAACAAATCTCTAAGATAGTTCCTCTGCCTAGTGACAATCTCTACTGTCACTATCAAGCTGGAGTGAGTGATGAATCAGAATCCTGAAGAACTTGCAGGGAGACTACAAATATGCTATAAGTTTGTTATCTTGCATAGAAATACTTTTTTTTTTACTTGCAGAATAATTCAGTCCTTCCTAATCAGCCAGAAAGAAAATAAAAAGTGGATGCACTGTAGTTTAAAGGAACAGATCCTATCCCAGCTGGTTACTTTGCTTTGCTGTTAGAGAAAAGCTGAGGAAAATGTACAGAACTTACCATGTAACTCTGAAATATTCAGGAGCACTTGGGCTCAGAATACATCGGTCCTGTCCCTGCTTGCCTTGGAGAACTGTGATGCATTAAACAATCAGCACCACTGGACTTGGGTTGCTTTGTCACTGGGGTCTCATTTGGGACAGAGAGAAAAGCACATGTGGAGGTCCCTTTGGAGGCTGAATCTTCTAAGCTGTTCAGACACAATCTCTCAAAGCACAGAGCTGTGATTCCTGAGAACACATTTGCATTTGCACACACACAGAGCTGAGTGGTGCTGCCCATTCTGCACTCAGGAAATGCTCCCTGCACCTGGCACAGTTAACTACCCAGTGTTCTCTGAACTCCTGTGGGAAGTGGTAGGTGTTTCCCAGAGTCAGAGAAGTGACTCATCTCAGCTGTGCTAACCAGAGGGTTATAATTTAGATGCAGATCGTTCCACGTGCTAGGATCCCTTCCAAGACAGCAGATTGTGACAAGAGTCCCTCCATCTGTGTTTCAGGGATGACTGAGTAGATTGGTTCACAGGGTAACCACGATGACTGGGTCTCCTCTACATCACTGCATGTCCAAGCCAGGTCCAGCCTGGGCAGGGTCCTCCTTGAGCCTGGGTACATAACACCTGCTCTGTAAATGGGAAAATATCTGCTTCCCAGGACACTCATCTTGCACTGAGGCTTGGCATGACATCCACTTACAAGCAGTGGGAGGGTTACATCAAATGGGGTGAAATCTAAGTTCCCCATTCAAGATTCCTCTGAAACTCCAGCTCTAAGCTAACACCGTTTGTTTTCCTACAGTACCATGCTCAACTGAGTCCTCTGCTTTGTCACCAGCCTGATCTTCGGAGCCATCACCATCGGGACAGGAGTCCTGGGTATCATTGCTGGGGCAAGGGTCACCAGAAGGTTAAGGAAGATCTACAGTAAAGCTGATCCTCTGATCTGTGCCACCAGCATGTTCATCTCTGCCCTGTGCCTCTACACGGCTCTCGTGGTGGCCCAGACCAACATCCTTTCCACCTTTGTAAGTGCCAACCAGCCACCTGTCCCTTGGCATCCTGGGCAGAACGGCAAGGGGGAGGATGAGGAGGAGGCAAGGGGTGGCTTCTGCAGAATTCTCTGCAGTCTTTTAGACCTTTAGGAGGGTTCAGTGATTTAGAAAGTGGCCAGGGAAGAACTGGGAATGGTGCTCCAGTGCTGCCTGGGGCCTGCCCGCTGGGATCCACCTTGGGCATTCCTTGTTCCAGGGCACTGCAAACCGGGCCTCAGGACCTGCAGAGTGCACTGCACAACAGTAAGCCTGTGTAATTAGCTGCATGCAGCTTGTCCCTTCTCCAAAAATGTAGTTAAAGCAAGTCTCAATCTTATGTTAATTATTAATGCTACGCAGCTAATTTAGTATTCTTATTTATTTTTGCTTTCTGAATCCTTAAAGATTGGTGTAGTTGGGGCTGTGCAATACACACAGTTCTTGCTAAGAATAATCGAGCCATCATCTTCAAAGTCTCAGATCACCAGCTGATCTTCAAAGTCAAGCTTTTGGCAAAGCAAACTGAAGTATAAATCACTTAAATTCTGCTCTTAGCAAAGGGAAAAACAGAAACCTACCAGGAATGATGAAGAGTTCCAAAAACTCCCTGTGAGAGGGAACTGAATGTAAACCTTATTGCAACTATAATCTGGTAACAGCTAGGGAAAGACTCCAAGTTTTTTCCTGTGACTCCACGGCCAAAATCACCATGATTAACATAAATAAGAGGATCCAAGCAAAGTTAATTACAATAATCAACAGTTCTCTGCAAAAGGGTACTTTTTCAGGTTTTTTGCTTCTAAGAATAGCACTTGTTCAAAGAGGTTTTCCTTTTGACTCCTCGGGAATGTGTATTCCTGTGGAAAAACACCTTTACACCAAGAGAAAAACAAGTGGATTTGCATGTCTGAGTGTGTGTACACAAAGCACAATGGGAGATTGAGGATTATTTTTGGATTCAGGAGTGGAGATCTGAGTGCCAAAGAATTGGCCATTTTCTTCTGCTGCTTCTCAGGTTCCCACAGAGCCCCACCCTGAGTTTGCTCTTCAGTTCTCTTTTTGTCCTTAAAGGTGGAGGGCAACAGTTTCATTTGCCACTCTGTGTTAGATGAGTGAGCCAACAGATTGGGTTTGAATTACCAAAAGATACCTTTTATTAGAATTGTAGAATCCCAGAATGGGTTGGGTTGGGAGGGACCTTAAAGCTCATCCCATTCCAGCACCTGCCATGGGCAGGGACACCTTCCACTAGCCCAGATTGCTCCAACCTGGCCTTGGACACTTCCAGGGATGGAGCATCCACAGCTTCTCTGGGCACCCTGTGCCAGGGCCTCCCCACCCTCCCAGGGGAGAATTCCCTCCCAATATCCCATCCTCACCTCCTCTGTGTCAGTGCAGCCATTCCCCTTGTCCTGGCACTGCAGTTCCTGATGACGGAGCTCTCCAAGGACTGGTGGAAGTTTAAATGTTTCTCTCCTCACAAACAGCATTGTCTTCAAGCAGGGTGTTATCTGGGAGGAAATTCCAAACTGGGGTATGGATAAGTGTGTTCTTTAAGTTTCTTCCCACTGCAGTGCAGATGCTTGGGAAAGTCATGGCTGAACCCAGCAGGTGAGGGGGTGACCCTACATCTGCAATCCACACAAGACCTTGGGAAAGAAAAGAAAATCTAACAAAGTTGTGTCTCTAACATTAACGCAATTCTGTTTGAAATTATTACTCTGTGCAGCACGAGGTCTTAGCCACTGAATATCACATTTTCCTTATCAAGGATAATTTTTCATTAATTTCCATTCCTTTTATCTCCAGGTTGACAGCAATAACTTATTTCCTAAAGATGAATTCTACTTTTCTTGCACTGGGCACGACATGCTCTTGTTCTTAGGGCTTGTACAGACTAAATAACTTGGGAAAAACACGAAGAGAAAGGAAAACTGGAAATTACACTTTGAAAGTGCTAAACATCACAAGATTCCTGGCAGGGAGATATCTCTCATTTGATGGATGAAGGCAGGGAGTCATCTATTCCACTTGATGATATCTAGGAACAGTTTGGAAGCCTTCAGAACCTTCTGCTCTAACTGTAGGATTTGCATCTTGTTCCATTTAAAGTATCAGCCAGGATCTAAATAAATCTCTTTGCTCTTTATCTCCTCCCTGTCTCCCTTTAACCTGCACTATCTCTTGCTACCTATGGCACCACTGACAGAAGGTAGGGAAGTTCACACCATTATTGCCTGATGAATCTGGATTTTCCAAGAGAGTTCAGAGAGTATTACCTTGCAATAAAGGGATGAAGGGCTAATCTTTTCTGGGGAGTGCAAGATTTCACAGCCAGTCCTTATTGCCAAGTGTCTTGGTAAACAGCTGACCTGTGTGATTTTGCTTCCCATGTTCATGAACACATTTTGTGTTTGCCCACAGTTCTCTAGTGCAGGTGCTTCACTTGCTTTCCAGCTCAGGCTGGAGCAGTGATACTGCAACAGTCCTGACCTGCAGAGCAGCAGCTGCACTCTGTGTCTGGTGAGGGCAAAGCCTGCCAAGGTTGTGGCAGTGGGCAGTAGGATGCATAAATCCAAGACTAACACATATTCAAGGAGTGATATTTGTCATATAACTTAAGGAAAAGCAACTCTGTGTGGGGGAATGGATTCAGCTGCAAATTAGGAAACCTGTGCAAAGCAGTGTGAAGAGAGGGATCCCTGGATAATGGTCTGTATTAAGTATCTCAGTGCTTCAAGGAACTTCTTCTCTGAACTTGTTTGGAGAAGAAAACACATGAGCAGAAAGGACCAGAACCACAGAGGAGGCAGGAAGATGTTTATCAGCTCTGGTTCTCCTTAGGGGCACATCAGCCACCCCTCCAAAAACACCTGGGCATTTGCCACTGTGCCTTTGCCAGACCAGGTACAACACCTTGACCAAGGCCTTGCTGAACAAGATGCTGCTGCCTGTTGTAACCATGGGCTTTATTTCCAGGTGCCATCTGACTTTGTGGCCTGTGTCCCTAAACAGGCTCTGCCTTCTAGCAGAGTTTACCCTTGACAGGGCAGCCTTAATGCTCTCCCAAAGCCTCCCTTAGCCTGGGCAGGCTGCTCCCTGTGTCCAGGGCTGGCTGGAAGGGTTAATGTTCTCTCAGACCACAGCTGTAAGAACTGGTGGGGGCCCCACCCCTTTTCCTGATGGCTGGGTCTCCATCTGCGATGGATTAGGGAACTCCCACAGGGCATCAGCACTTCCAGGCTGCCTGTTCTTTGGAGTCCATTCCATTTGGGAAGTTCTCTTTCTGAAACAGCCTTTAAGAGTACCTGTATTAGCACAGAGGTGCTTCATTTGCAAAGGGAGATCTTTAATTACTTTTTAAACCCCTGCTGAAAGTTTCTCTTCCCAGGATCTGGCTTTCCTCTTCCTGGGTTCAGCAGTTCAGTGGGAGGGTGCTGCATGTTTCCTATTTTGACTCTTCTGCTGAGGATTTGTGACACAAACCCCACCCACCTTCTCTGGTTCCTTTCCCCACCTTTAAGATGAAATTAGTGTTTGTAAACATTGACAGAAAGGTTTAATTTCTAAATCCATGGGTGTGTGGGACAGCTCTCACACAGGCACAGTCAGTGAGCCTGCCTTCATCCTCACACCAAAGCAAGCCCATGCACTGTGGACAGTCACTGCTTTCTTCTCTTTTGCAGATTTTTATTGCCCTTGGAGAGCTGTTTTTGTTTGTGATCTGGGCTGTTGTGACAGACATGCTGCTGGTAAGTGCTCAGGCATCTACTTCCTTATTTCAAGTTTTTTCTCAACGTAAAGTTGTTCCTAAGGCTGCATCTTGGTGGCTTTCTGGGAAGAGATGAATGAACTCCTATCAACAATCCCCTTACTGGTACCCTGCTCAGGCTGGGGATGGAATCACTGCTGGGCAAGGATGCCAGTGGCAATAGAGGTGTGGTGGTGCAGTCACCCCAGTTCTTGTGAGCCCAGAAAGGAGATGTCCTGGCTTGGATGGAGCTCCTGCACAGGGAACTCTCTGGTGCTGCCTGTCCCCAGAGCAGTTTGGGTTTCTGTACAGCTCTGTGTTGTTGTGTCTGCACCAGAAACAGGGTCATTTTGTGTCTCTAATCAGGTTTTCTGTTTGTGCTCCAAACGTTTGAAAACATGACCCAAATGAGGGAAAGTCATCCAGAACAGAGATGAATTCCAGCAAATCCAATTCCTCAGTGGTGCTGCAGTGCCAGAGGGCCAGGCCAGCAGTGGTTGTCATGAGGATCTCAGAGGTGCCAGGGCTGACACCACAAGCCCAAGGAAGGGCAGTGCATGATTTCATTTGGATTCTGCCATCAGGAAGTTCTTTAGAAAGCAGTGATGTGAAAAGCACACATCTTGTGGCACTGCTAGTCTTAGGTCTCAATGAGCAGCTTGTTCTTTTTATCATTTCAAAGGTTTTTCAGTTAGTAATTTTTTAACACACTTGAGTTTTTACTCAAAGGAAAAATTTGGCAATCTTTCATTTATGCTGTAGCTCCACAATCACTAATCAGTGTCTGTGTAAAACCTGGTGCAGATGTTGTTATTAACACTGAATTAGACAGATTATCACAGTCTTATCAAGTAGTTTATATGACTTTTTAATTAAATCCATAGCATGAACAAGCTGAATATGGTTTATTAATCAAATAGGCAAGGAAATGGTCCATCTTGTTCACTTCTAGTAATGAGACTGCAGAAAGCTGATTTAAGTACCAGAGCCAGACTTAATGAAATGATTGACAGTTCTTCTGTTGCTCCCCATGGGCACAAGACAGAACCTTTGAATTGACACCACCCTTTTCTACAAAGGGTGCAGTGCTGGGACAAGGAGAGACCCAGACACGTCACTCTGGGATCCCTGTGCTGGTGGGTGTGGCTGCAACCCAAACATTCCAGCGGGAAGCTCCCTGAGACAGGGATTGAAGGCACAGCAGAACAGACATCTCTGACTGTTCCTTCCCGAGCAGGAGTCCCGTGTTTCCCGCTGGATGTAAAAGTGTTCCATTCTGAGGGAGCTCAAACCCATCTGCAGGTTGCTGCTGCTGCAAACCCCCCTGCCACAACAAACCTTTCATTTAAGCACCACAGTGAACACATTCCTGAGCAGCACAACACAACAGCAGTCCCCAGGAGTTCAGGGCAGCAAAGGAACCTTTCCTGGGTGTTCAGCAGAGCCCTGCTGGCCCTGACTGTGCACTCTGTTCTCTCTCACGGTGCTGCTCCCCACGAGTCAGTTCTCTGCACTCTGGAATTTTCACTGAAAAACAAATAATGCAGTCAGCATTAGTGAATTGGCTGCCTGCTTAGAATCTCAGCCAGCAGCAAAAGGGTTTTGCTTCTTCTTTGAACTCTCATGGAACGGTCAGAAACAATTATCCTACGAGAAAAGAGCTGGAGCCTTGCAGCAGTGAACAGGTGCGGGAAAGCTATCACTGCTCCAAACTGACAACTTTTATTAGCTTCTGTTTCAGTTTATTTTGAAATCACTGGGGTTTGTGCCAGGACCAAGTATTATTACAATTACCATTATTTTTACATCAGTTGAGGCACCACTGAGGGATTTTTTTTTAAGTTTCTCAATTTACTTTTCTCTGAACTCCTTCAGCTGTATTTTAATTGTGTCCTCTGTCACTGTTAGAGAGGCAGGTGACACTGAGTGAGGTACTGGTGATATCTGATGAGGAAAGTGAGGCAGATGGTTACTGTCAGCTCATTCCTTCAATTCCTTCCTGAACCCAAACTGCAGAGCCTGGAAGGAGCTGGGCTGTGCTTCAGTTCCATCATTTCCAGTCTCAGTTTGCTCAGGGAATCACATCCCAACCTGCAGGAATTCATGGGCAGTGCCACTGCATATCCTGGATCCATCTAAATCCAGAAGAGAAGGAGATTCTTGTCTCCCAGGTGACCAACAGTCCTCATTGCATTTGCTTTAGAGTATTTTGGGTTTAGGTACCAGCAATGTTGCATCAATTGGCAACAAATGGGGAGGTGACAAGCTTGACTGAGCTCTGTGGTGGTGTGTTGGGTTAGATCTCCTGAAGTCTAAATATTAATCATTTTATCAGAGAAATGATGGAACTGAGCTGAATTTGTGGGTATCTGCTCATTTAGTGGCAATTTTATCTGAGAGTTGGGTTTTGTCCTGCTGAAACCCCACAGGTCCAGTGTATTTCTGCTGTTGCAGTGACTGAAGGGTACCACAGATAACAGCAGTAATTCCTCTTTTTGTCTTGTTTCCCACGTGAACTGGCAGGAGTTCTGACAATGTAGCTGCATTTGCTAATGCATGTTCTTATTTTGCCATGAAAATGACTTTTCTTTCTTCCCACATGGCACTACTAGCCAGACAATGGAGCTAGGAATTCATTTATCCTGCAACCTGTGGAGCTGAAGACAAAGGGAGATGCTGGCTGAATGATAAGGACTTTGTGGCTGTGCATCAGGATGCAGTGCATGGAGCCACCTCCGTCCTCCTGTTCAGTGTAAACACAGAACTGCCAGCTGTACAGCTCCATGTACACTCCATGTGCACGTGGAGAGGGGCTGGAGCTGCCCTGCTGCTTTCCTGGGAGGCTGTTCCTAGAGTTCCCTTATGGAAATGTTTGTCAGCTGTGAGGTGACAGCACTGTCCTTTAGGGTGTGGCAGCTAACAGCATAGGAGATGCTGCAACTTGGGAGGGCAACCAACATGTCCCTGCCTTTGGAAGTGCCCTGGGAGGTGCAGGAGTGTCCCCCAGCCTGTGTTCCATCTGCTGTCTCAGCTGACAGCTCTGGGACAGTGGACAGGAGGGTCTCTGAAACCCCAGACACGGCACCACAGGCTTTGCAAACTGTCCCTGCTTGGGGCTTCCCTGTCCAGGCCTGGGCTGGGATCTCCTGGGAGCTGCTGGAGTGCAGGATGTCAGCAGCATCACTGCCCTGGGGTGGGCCCTGGGCAGTCCCTGTGGCTGGGCAGGAGGCTGTGGCTGTGGCTACCTCAAAGTCCCTCTGTGGGGGATCTTTTGTTTCTTTTCTCCCAGTGAGTCCCACAGTGCCTGGAGCTCTTGGCTTCTATGGTGCAGAAGAACCTGAGTGACAGCCCAGGCAGAGTTTGTCCGACCCTCCCAACTACAGGAAACATCCCATCCTTCTATTTTTCTTGTTACAGCTTTATTGCACTGTCTGTTGTAGCAGGATCTTTTCTTAATTTTTTTTTTTTTAAACCCATCTTACCCAGCATGGGAATGTTTCCTTGAAGGCAGCTGTAGGACCAGTATATGGGTTATATACCTTGAGTTTGTGTCTTGGTAAAACACCAATCACCCTCTTAATTAGTGTTTGAGACACACTTAGTGATGTTTAGATCAGCTTCAAAACAAAACCAAGTTGTGGGATAGAGGACTGGGAGAATATTAGGCATTTTTTCTCTGCTATGAGAAAGGGGTCGGAAAACAAAGGTATGAAGGTTTGAAATTGCTTCTGTCTCATTCTGACTGTGAATGCACTTTCTGTAAATGCATTATTGAAAGAGACACAAATTATATGGAATCATCCTGTACTTCTGCAGGCACAGCTGATCTTCAGCAGCACAGGCACAAAGCCCTTATTACCCCCAAATTACTATATTTCATTTGACAAAATAGTTCTAATCTCTGGGATGCTTTGCTGAGTCCTGGCTGTGCACATCTCCAACTTGTTATTTAAACTGTGTGCCCTCCCAGGCAAAATCATCTGGAGGTGTTGATATCCAGTGATCTGAGGTGATACCCAGTGACAGGCAGTGCCACCAAAGCACCAGCAGCCACCTTCTGGTCCCAGAGGAGTGAAAGGTCCCAGCTGACACCCTGCACAGCCAGCAGCTCCTCCAGGCTCCAGGTCCCCCAGAGTCCCCCCAGCAGCCCTGCCCAGCCCTGCTGACACAGGGCACAAGAAACTCTTCCCACAGGCTGTCAGTGCTGAACACCCTTATTGGCAAACCATTCTGACTGCAAGGAATCCTTGGCTGGACGCTCCTGATGGTTGCAAATGAACCTGTGTAGTAAGAGGTGTCCTGGCTGAGTTACTTTATTGTCATTCCCCCCTGTGTCTTCCTTCCCCAAATGTTTTTTCCCCTCAACAAAACACACAATGTACTCTTCTGCCCAGAGGAACTGCTCTGTCTCCAAACTTGTAAAATAGAAAAGGTCTCCGTGTGTCTGGGATGCCCCAGAAGGTGCTGAGGCTCTCTCTGGTGCTGTTTTGCAGTGCGTGGTGAGCCCGAGGTGCCGCTCCACGGCCATCGCCCTGCAGATCCTGCTGAGCCACCTGCTGGGGGATGCAGGGAGCCCGTTCCTCATCGGGGCTGTAAGTGAACTAACTCCCTGCTTGCTGAGCCTTAGACACCACCTGGTCTAGAACTACAAATTACCTGTATTGCTCACACTGATTCTAGCACACAGGCATTATTTTTAACCTGCCTGAAACCCCTGGTCCTGTGACACTGCAGGTGGGTAGAACACAATCCTATGCTTGCAGCTTGAGGGGTTGCATGCAGTGTGTAGAAATGGATTTTGATTTGAAATGTGGAAACTCGTGTATTTTTGAAGGCACACATTTTTGCAAAGACAGTGTCATGGGTACTGTACTTGGATTTAAGCACTTTCTGGTAAGTTTGTGAGGAGTTTCGTAGAAATTAATCAAATGCATTAAAAGCCAAGACTCAAAATCTCAGAGTTGATGGTCTCTTGGAAATCAGAACAAAAGTGATGCAATTTTACTACTTGGCCTTCAAAGCTCTGGTCTCAAAGCACCTTATCCTTGATTCCCCTGATTCCTCTGCACTTCCTACATTTTCCTGATCTGAGGTGCTTCTAGACAAAGCAGCCAAGTGCTGTTCTCTCTGTGCAGTTCATTAGTTTTAGTTCCAGAGGATTGTACCTGTCACTGTCATTCCCTTCCTTCACTCTTTGTGATTTAGGAACAGTAACTGCACACACCAATCACCCACTTTGATTTTCCTGCTTTACTGGACATGGGAGAGAGATGAGTCCTTGTTGTTGCTTTAAGGTTTTCTTTGTATGGCAGTTTATCTCAAGTTCACCTCAGGACTCTCTGCTGGTGCTTTGTCCCCTGTTAACAGTGGCAGGGTCAGACAGGGCCAGCAGTGCCCCAGGGAGCTGCTCCTGCAGGCACAGCCACACTCGAGCTGTCCTCAGCTGGGGGAAACCCAGCCTTTCAGCTCTGTGATGTGGCAGAGAACACACCCTCCCTCACTGAGGGATTCCTCCTGCTCAGCCTCTTGTTTTGGCAAATGAAGAGCCCACTTTGCTCACTCTGTGTTTTAGGAAAGCCCTGCCCTCCCACTGTTTGGGTGTGGGAACAGAACAACCAACACCTCTGTGTCAGGGCAAGTGGCTGACATGGAGTGCAGCCAAGGGAAGTACCCAGAAGCTCTTGTGCATTCTCCTTTGACCAATTGTTTAAGCTTCCAGCCTGAAAGGTGAAGCTGTTTGTGCCCCCACCCCCATCCTCTGCCCCTCTGGGTGCTGTGGCCCTGTGTGCAGGGCCTGCACCTTAAACAGCAGCTCATCCACAAGTGTGAAGATAAATAAAGCTTATCCAGATGAGATGAACCTCAGGTAACCTTGCAGCTTCAGACAGAACAGAGACAACAAACTCAGGAACAAAACTGCTCCTTGGCCAAGTGGGACGGGGTGCAGTGAGCACCTCAGTTCTGCTGGAATGCTCCTGTGAGCCCAAACACCAGCACTGCTGTTGGTTAAACACTCAATCTGCTCCCACATTCTGCTCTTGTTTCCTAACCTGCTTCAGCCAACCCTTTACTTAAAATCTGGCTGAATAATCAGGGAATAGTCTTTTTCAGAGTCTGTTTTTCTTCCCTCTGCACTCCAGAGATTTTTTTCACCAAGCATCTTAACATTAAATACATAAGGTTTGCACTGTGGCCATGATGCTTGCTGTAGTCCCTAGGTGCCCATTTAGAGTTGATCTTGCTCTTATCTGCTTAAAGTGTCATGAATAATCACAGCAAACCCAGCAAAGGTTGAAGAGTCTCATATTTGTGCATTTCAAATCACACAGTGCATTCTAAGCATCAAGAACAAATGTGGGAATAAAAATGACTGCTTTCAACATTTATCTTTTTGTTTATGCTAAGAAGAGATTTCGAGTTCCTTGAGTGTTGAATCTTATTTTCTTGAAATCAGCTTTTCTTTCTGTCTGCAAAAATAAAATTCATGTGTATCGTTTATAACCTTTACAGCTTCATCCTCCCACCAGTGCAAGAAGCAGCTGCCTGGTATCTTCTTCTCCCAGTTCCTCACTATGTCACTCCATGACTCCTCTAAGGCCTTTTGGCTCGAAAGCAGCCCCCACTCTTGTCTGTAATTAATTTCTAATGAGTGCTGCTGCTTGTGCCTGCATTGCTGTTAACCCCCTGTTTCTATCCAAGCAGGGAGGTATAAAGTTATTGAACAGCACCAGGAAATGCTAAAGGTCATTCCCAAGTGCCTGTGCTGTGCTGGCTGGCTGGAGATGGGCCAGGAAATGTCAAAATGTATTTGCCCCTCCTGTGAGTGGGGCACTGAAGGGATGGAGAACATGAGATTGCTTGAGCAGTGGAAGCTGGAGAGCAGTGCAGGTGTGCCTGGCAAACGTGGGGAGCCCACTCTCATCCCTGTGTGCCTGTCTGACCCTTCCCCAGGTCCCCCCTGAGCAGGAGGAAGGGGTGTTGTCCCAATTAATGCAGCCTCGTTCCCTCCCCAGGTCTCCAACGCCCTGCAGGCCCGGGGGGCTCCAACCTTCCAGAGCAGCTTCCGGAGCATCCAGAGCAGCTTTGCCATCTGTGCCTTCGTGGGGGCCTTTGGAGGAGCCTTTTTCCTCCTGACAGCTCTGTCCTTCGAGGGAGATCGGAGAGAAGCTGAAAGGCCCTGAGGTGTCTGTGTGTCTGTACAACTTCTACCCGTTGGAGCTGGTGGCTCTGCCGTGTGGGCACCAGCCATGGTATTTATGGGATCTGAACCCCCAGATCTGCATTGTGCTAATGCCACATTAGTGTCTATAAAAAGATAAAGTCTCAGATTAAACCGACCTCCCATGTTGAGCAAAAGAGACCCCAGAGCTCACAGGGCCCAGGGAGGTGCTGGTAGTGACAGCTGCAAAGTGCTGCAGTGCCTGGAGGAAATGACACCCTTTGCTGTAGGGCAGCAGTGCAGGCTGCACGGAACAGGAGGTTCTGCTGCTGCTCTGCTCTGTCTCAGCCCTGCAGAACCAGCCCTGGCTCTCTGCAGCACTTCTCCCTCTTCCCTGGGAAGTTCATGTTCAAAGTGTAAAGGACCCAAAGTAAACCTGTAGAATTGGACAGGACACATCCTCAGTCCCCTGGGTCCTTACAGCCTCCTTCTGCTCTGACTTGGTTTTCCAGCTACCAGCAAAGTCTCTCAGAGGAAGATGAACTCTGGGGCGAGATTTGCACAGAAGAAAAGCCCATCCTCCCCTTTTTCTTTCCTTTTTGCTTCATGAGATACAGCTGGAGAAAAGGCCAAATCACAATTCCTCCATATGGCAGAAAATCCTGCACGCTGACTTTTTTGGGATGCTTTTGACTGTGAGTCAAAAATTGCTCCTGCATTGGCATATGGCAACCCTCCCCCATCTGCAGCCAGGCCTGGGGACTCTGTGGGGCTGGGGAGCTGCAGGAGGTGTTTTCTGGAGCTGTCACTGGCACCACAGCTGACCCCAACAAGGCAGGAGCTTTGGAGGCACAGTGGCTGATGGGGATTAGGGAGGGAGGCCTGTCTGTGAGTGCTCAGCAGGATGAGATTTGTCTGTGGAACTGGGAAAATAGAGATAGTACAAAGTCAGGGTCAGATTCAAGAGGAGGGGGGTCATGGTCATTTTATATGTAACATGTTCATGGTCTCTTCCTAATCCTTTGAGGCTCTTCAGCACATCCTCAGGCCTTGGGTAAGTATCTCCTGTCAGGAGGGAACAGAAGCTGAACTGAAAAACCACTTAAATAGAACTGTCTACTTGAGCTCCTGTCTCTCAAGTGCAGAGGATTTGGGATGTGGTATCTGCTATCTCAATGTTGTGCCAGAGACACGATCAGTGGGGCCAACTTTCATTGTTTGTCACGATGCAGTTTCCAGCAGCACCTTAAAGCCAAAGCCTGAGGAAGATACTGGCAAGTGAATTGGGAAGTGTTATGAATCTTGCCTGATTCTCCCAGTAAATCCAAAGGATCATAAAGCACAACATTCCTGTAATGGCTGTGAATGTCTAATGTCACTGTAAATACCATAATTCAGCAACTGCAGGGGTTTTTGTTTCTCCTTCTACCTCATTTTTAAAAAATCTGTTCTGAAGTCTGACTCAGACCGAGGTAGGGAAGGGTGACCATTGTGGGAAATAACAGAGAAACTTTTTGTGAAACAGTGTGATAACTGCCTTTAAAATAAAAGTTGGTGTTTTGAAAGACTGAGCAACTTTTTCTGGTCATGAAAGCCAGCCATGGCCATCGTACCACTGACCTTTTGGAAATTTGTCCCACGAGGGGTTTTTGCTCTTGGATATGAATGCAGCAGCTTGTGGAGGTCTAAGAGCTTCAGGCCTGGCAGGACTGCAGCAGCTCCATCCACAGGGCTCCCCCATTGGCATGCTCAGGGTTTGCCCTGGAAACAGATGAGCTATTTATCACTTTGGTTAAGTCAGCATTAAATTCTTCTTATAAAAAGTTAACCAGAAGCTGTATCTGCCCACTGTGCAGGCACAGATTTGACATATGAGCAAGAGATGCCAAGTGCTGTTCTGGAAATGGTACACGGAGTCCGTGACAAACTCCTTCCTACTCCTACTCCTCTCTCCCTGAAAGCCCAGGAATGAGCAGGATCACTCTCACTAGTTCAGTTCCATCTTTTCAAATGCCTCTCTCTTTCCTTTGTAATTTAAGGGCAGAGGGTGTCTAGTTTTTGTTATTTTTGCTGAATTTTAGCAGGACTAACACCCTCAGAGCCTACTGTGTCTTAAAGATGGAACTTCCTCACCAGGATTTGTAAAAGGAGGAGAATTTCATAACATTTTCTGCATGTCTTGCTTTTGCTTCTTAGCAGGTGGCACCAAATTCTGCACTGAGGGCTGAACTCAGTCCTGGAGGGGGCTGTGGGGAACTGCAGCTATTCCAGACATTACACTCTTCTCATGCCACCAAAAACTTGGATTAGGGAAAGCCACAGAGCCCTGGCACATGGACAGTGAAGGAACTGAAGTTCTCTTAAGGCATCAGCTGAAATACCTGTTGGTTTCTACATTTCCAACTAAATGCAAGTAAGAGAAAAATAGAGGGATTAAAAAAGATATTAAATTTGCTGCTTTGTCTACACTGGAAAGAGCTGGTGCTGGAAGCTGCTGCTGGTGGAGGTGGTTTGTCCTGCAGCTTTCCTGCTGCCTGGAATCCGTGTCCCTTGCAGCAACTGAGTGATAATGTGTATTTTCTGTCATTGTTTGTATATTCTCCCCCTACCTTTAACATTTCTTCTTTGCACTTTCCAACCAAAACAGTGGGAAAGAGGCACTTTGGAACAGCTCCAAAAGGTGGGATTTTATAATTCCATTCAGGTAACCATGTTGATCTTTTCCTCCCCTTCTTCCCTCATTCCCAAAGCAGGGACAGGTGACCTTTAGTGCTGTTTATGTGGATAATTTTTTAAACAAGTTTTAGAGCTCTGCTTTGCATAAAAATGGCCTTCAGAATTGTGATTATTTGGAGCTTCTACCACATGGGTGCAGGACACACCTCAGACACAACAGTGCCATGGTGTGTCCCCACTTCTCCAGGGGTTCCTCCCCCACTGATGTCTCTGACCTTGCTCTCAGCACAGTTTTAATTGTCAGACACGTCCCATGTCACTTTTGCTCTCCTTCCCAACCCAGCAGCCCCTGCACTGCTCTGGACTGGGATTTCCCAGCCCCTCAGGCTCTCCCTGTGCCAGGCTGAGGGGGCAGAGCTGCCAGATTGGTAACTCCTGTGGGGGGGCTCTCTCCTAAGAACACCTCCTCTTTTGTTCCTCTTTGCCCTCCTTACCTGTGCAGCCAAACTGTCTTTTGCAAACTAAGAAACCCCCAAAGTCCTCCACTACCCCAAAACTTTCAGGGCAGATGTTTTCTCCTGAGATCCTTCTGCTGGTTTGCACACACTCTTCCCTCCCCAGGCCTCCTCTGAGCACTGGGTCATCCCACCCTGCCCCTGCGGGTGCCTGGGATCAGGGAGCACTCCCCTCAGCCCTTGGAACAGGCACAAACCCCATGGAAGAACAGCTGTGGAGCCCTGCCAAGCCCTGCTGGCATTTGAGGAGCTGGAACTGGCTGTGTCCCATTGCAGCAGAGCCACTGGATCCATCTCAGTTCTGGAATTATCCCCATTGTAAGCCAATAAAGCCTTGGAAAGGTTCTTAGAAGGCTTTTTGTTTCTAAGGGAAGCAAAGGTTGATCTGAGGAGACTCTTGAGCCTGATCTGGGAAGGTGATCAAAGCTGAGGGGATCTCACTTTGTGTAATTTAATGTTTCAGAACAGTTTTGTTATTAGTATGCAAATTACCCACACACCCTGGGACGATCAGATGGCTGCAGTTCAGGACATCAATGTAAGGGCTGTCAATGCCATTGCAGGGAAGTCCTTTGGAGATGCCCTGCTCAGAGTGCCAGGTTTGGATGGGACTCCACCCCAGCCAAGGGGGCTGGAGCAGGGCTTGGCAAACACACCCTGTGTCCCTAAAACCAGGATTCTGGGCCATGAAAAGCCTGACCTGTGCAGGACTCAGCTCCCACTGTGGCACTAAGGCCTGACTTTATCTGCTCAGACCCTCTGGTGTTCATATTCCTACAGTTAATATTTTTCTGTATGATTGTGAAATGCTTTTAAATGGAATTGAAAGGTAAATTCATGCATTCCTGTACACAGGTATAATCTGCTTTTCAGTACTGAATGTGTTGGGCAGGAGGCTTGAAACTCGTGGAAAAGGATGGGAATCACTTCTGAAAGTACTGACTCCAAGCCACCTCTTTAATTCCACCTCATGGACCCTAGGACAGTGGCCTGACTTCTCCCTTCCTTCATTTCTTTTTTCCCAAGAGCCTTGAATCCCTCTGGTCCTGACAAAGGCAGGCTGAGCAGCTGTGTGTTCAGCACTCAAGGAAATTAGGCCATTTACTTAAAGATTTAATTACGGGTTTAGAAGCCTAACCATGGGCACCTAATTTGGAAATCTTGGTTGTAGGAACTTTTTTTTTTTCAGGAATATTTCTATCCTGCTCCATGAAAGCATCACTTTAAGAACTGCAGGTCTGTGAGCAGAGCTCGAGCTTCAGTCTGGTAGGCAGTGCAACTGTTGGGCACAGCTTTTTGTCTTTGCAGGTTGTATTTTCAGTGCCTGAACCTGGGGTTTGTGTACATGGGCACCCTGCACACAGGAGGTGTCACTGGGATGGGGGGGCAGAGCTGGGAGCAGGCAGGAGCTGGGAGGGAGGACATGGAGGGAAAAAGGGCACCTCAGTTCTTGCTGAGAATATTTCCACAGTAAAATCAGGGAAAAAAAGGTTCTTTAACCCATTTAGAGATAAATGTGGATTCATCCAGGAGTGGAATAAAATGTGGATCACAGCCTACTACAGGATGCCCATTTTAATTCCTGGTCTGAGAAACATCTACCCTCCAATGAGGCTGCAGAGGTGCAAGAAAAGGACCCAAATGCCTCCTCCTCCTCCTCCTCTTTCTCTTCCTCTTCCTCCTCCTTGACTTCAGACTTTATTTCCAAAGGCCCTGGAAAGCCAGGGCTAAGACTCACTTGAGGCAGGATTTGTGAGGGGGCAGTGACAGCCACCTGCAGCAGGTCCAGGGCTGGCACGCTGGGACAGGGGAGGTTGTCAGGGACACTCTGAGCTGTCTGGATTTGCAGCCTTTGCTCCGTCCTGTTCTCCCCCAGCCGAGGGCTGTGACAAGGATAACAAGGGCTGATGTCATTCCGTGTCTCCAGGCTCCTCTCCAGTGGGAGCTGCCTCTCCTGGGGTCAGTGAGGCAGGACACGGGCTGTGACAGCTCCCCAGGGAGCTGGGAGAGCAGGGACATGGGAATGAACAGGAGGAGCAGTGGGGAATGAGGAATGACATCCAACACCCCACTCAGCAGCAGTGACAACAGGAGTTTAAAGAAATGTCCAAACATATTGGTTCCTTTAAGGGATTTGTTTTAATCTGTGTTAAAATAGGAGTTATATGTGCATCTCCCCCTCTAGCCCACTGCTTTAATAGGATTACCTTTAGCATCACCCCGTGGGCTCTTCCACTCCTCATTCCACATCTTCTGTGTCTCAGCAGATCCAATCAGGTGTTTTTTCATTGCTCAACAGCAGAGAGGAAATGAATTTTTCTGGTGAGGGGAAAGCACAGTGAATAGCCTGATTCCCCTCCCCAGTACCATCTGCAATCACTTTTGTGCTGCAGACGAAGGCAATGTTTTCCCGGGTCAGAGGTGCCTGATTATTCATAGCACTTTCATTTCCAGCAGCAGAGTCCTCCCATCCCTGCCAATCACCATCCTGGTCTGGCTTTGGTCTCTTGTACAGTGCTCTG